TAAGCCTGAGGCCCCGAGGCCCAAGGCAGGGGCAGGGCCCCACCGGCTCTCAACAGTCAGGCATCAGGAAGCCGTGAGCCCAGGGCCCGGCGCTACCACAGCCTCAGGCCTTGCGCCCCTCTGGAATGCCCGACAGACAGATGCTGCACTGGGCACCGTCTGCTTGCAGGACGTGCACAGGTCAAGGTGTGCGGGAGTGGGGAGGGAGGGCCCCACAGTGCTGAGCTCCTTCCAGGTGCCGCCCACCTTTGCTCAGACAGCTCCTCTCCTGCCCTGAGGTCTCTATCACAGGTTCTCACTTTCCAGTGGCCAGTTCAGGAGGCTTCCTGTCTGCGCTCACAGCAGCAGGGTCCCAGGCCTTGGGGTCGGGGGTCCTGCTTCTGCTCCTCATGAGCCATACAAGTCCCAAGAGGCCCCAGCCTTCCTCAGGGGGCCTCCTGCCCCACATTCGAGGAGCTGGGAGCGGTGCTGGCAGACGGGGCTGAGCGCCTGCTCCACAGGCATCTGCTGCTTTGACCCACTGGGCTCCTCCTCCCCACCTCGGCCCTGCCCGAGGCTCCACAAAGCCCCTGGGGGCTCTGAACTGTGACCTGAGGGAACAGGAGCTGGCCAGCCTGAGATCTGAACAAGTGCCTGGGTTTTAAGGTACCAGTGGAAAGACTGACGAACCCATTATATTCAAGCAGCCAGTGACTCTCCACCACAAACATCCTCACATGAAGGCTGTCTCCTCAGGGAGGTGAAGGCTGTCAAAGGCTGCATTTTAAGTACTTATTCAATAAGCTGTCGGTGCTGTCTCCCCGCTCCCCTCCCCAGTCACCCAGCGCCCGCTCCCTGACCTCTCCCTCCTCAGGGGGTGGGCTCAGGCAGAGACCCCTGCCCTTCCAGGGACGTGACTCCTCTCAAGTCCAGGGACAAACCTGGGCCGCGTGGGGCTCCTCTTCTCCTGCTCGCGGGCTCTCCCGGGAAGGCTGGGCAACGGCTGGGACACACGTGCCACCAAGGGGCTGGGGACAGCCCTCCCGAGGGACCATGGCGCGGCCCACTCTGCTCTTTGCTCCACAGCCCAGTCTGGGGTGGAGGGCGGGTCACCTAGGAAAACCCGATGCCCAGGCCAGCCTCACACAGGCTTTGCCTGCTGACCCCTTTCAGGGCCCAAGCTGGGCATTGGGGGGATGGGTTCACAATGCACTCAGGGGTGGAGAGCAGAGGTCACTGAGTGTGTGGCCTGCCCCGCTGATGCTAACACAGAAACGCCCTTTCCAAAGGGCCTTGTACCCATGGGTGATCTGTGGGTCCTGTTCCACACAGGACCTGTCACCCCACAAACCTGTGGAGTCTCATTCATTGACAAAGAACCCCCAGAGCCAAGTTAGTGTTTTCCCAGGACTGAAGGCACCACCTCAGAAGTGGTAAGCTCTCGCTCACTGGAGGAGTTCAGGCAAAGGCTGTGACCCCCTGGAGGGAGCCTTAGATGGGTGGGATCTGGGAGCTGGAGCTCTGTCTTTGGAGCTGGCGAGACATGGATCCTAACAGTGGCCCTGTCACTGGGCCCATGTGACCCACCCATCAGGAAGGTCCACGTCGGAGCCACACTGACACGGGCGCGCGGGCCATGCGTGGGGGCCTCTCTTTAATCTCTCCCATCTGGTCATGGGAGGCTGGTCCCCCAGGATGGTGGTGCCACCTCTCTTCCCGCAGGACCCTTGGTCTTTGTCACTGACTCTCTAGGGGGACCCCGACCAGGTCAAGGAGTCTCGTTTGCCAATTAACCCTTTTGTGGGGGTGATTGGGGTGCTAGCTGGAGGTTGCAGAGCTGAGGGAGGGCTCTGGCCCCATCGTGACACGTCTCTAGAAGGAGGAACCTCGACATGTTGTTGCTCTCTGCTTTGGTTCTAACCACTGACATCTGGGCAATAAGAAAGTCCCTTCCTACCCCCTACCTCACACACACTGCCAGAAGGGGAAAGAGCAAAGACAGTGGCAAGAGCAGTCGGAACCCTTCTGGGATACTGGCCCCAGTGGGTCCTGGCTCGGTGCACCTGCAAGGCCAGGGCACAGCCTGGGACCCAGAATCCTGGAGCAGTAGACAGCATATCCTGTTCCTCTTCCTCTTTTCTGCAGGAAAAGTGATCTGCTGACTGCCCCTAGGTTCAGACACACACACGCGCGCATACCCATACATGCACACCGGCATTCCAGCCTCCAGCATAACTTCTCAAGCGTTCTGCAAAACGAGGGGCAGAGGCCCCTCTGGGCACTGCTGCTCTGCCCAGTGGGGGACCTGAGGGTCAGGTGCTAAGTGAGAGACTCCTTGCTTTTCCTCACTGGCAGTGCCTGCTCTGGGCTCAACACGCAACTGCGTTTTCTGCCAAAGTGCAGAGGCGAGAAGAAATATAGTGGTTGTGGTGACCTCAAGAACAAAGACCAAGCTGTGCAGTGTGTGGAGGGGAGGGGCAGAATTCTAAGGCCAAGTCTCAGCTGACTTGCACCTGCCGCAGCAGCCTCATCCCCAACCAGTCCAGCGAACCACCCGGAACAACAGGGCCAGCAGCCCGTGAATCACAGAGCTGGAGGGCCCTACCGCGGGGCCCTGGTGCTGCTATACCCACGGCTGCTGCCACCTCACCTCCTCGGGCTCAGGGACCAGTGCTCTGCAAGCCCCCACAGTATTGGGGTCTGCAGAAAAGCCACTTCTCAGCCGTCCCAGCCGGTGACACACCAGCCCCACCTCCTGGTCATGAAGGGGCAGAGAGAAAGGCCTGCAGGGACCCCACGAGGTCAGGACAGCTGGGAGATGGACCAGAAACACAGCCCTGCACCTGCTGGGCGGCAGGTCTCCACCCTCCTGGCCTGTGTGTGCCCCTCAGCTGCAAGGGCCGTGGCTGGGCTGGAAGGTGGCAAGCGCCCGCACCATCCTCACCAGGATACCGCTGCTTCTGTGGGTCGCCAGGACGGACGGAGGCCAGCGCCCCCTTCCTGGACTCGCGGCTGACAGCGGAGGCCTGTGGCACCCGGCACCAAAGCTGAAGATGGACTGTCCCCTCCTCCGATCTGCCCCAGAGGCCTCCGGAGGTCAGGACTGGAAAGGCGCGCAGAGAGGTGCAGGAGCTCCATTCCTGGCGTCTTCCTGAGGGCAGGCTCGAGGCTTGAGGCAGGTCAGGCCTGACGAGGGAGCTGGCCAGAGAGTAGCCAGGCAGTGAAGCCACTGTGGGCCTGGCAGCCCCTCCCAGCCTCAGGCTGGCCCATCCTCAGCCTGGCCGCAGGCGCTGACCGCACTGTTTAATGAACCAGTGAGCTAACTGTGGTCCTGGGCTCACTGGACCTACCTCAGAGCTGCTAGGAGTGACAACAAACATTTTCTCAAAGCAAGAAACTCCATGATACAAAATTCACACCCCTTCCTGTCCAGGGATGATGAGGTAGGACCCCGGGTACACCTGGTTTGACCCCTTCCTCGCCCAGCACCCAAGGTCCTGGAGGAGGGGCTCCTGCCCACGGGCGTGCCTGAGATCAGGTGGGCCGCGGACGCCTGACAGCGGCCTCTGGCGTGCACTCTCACACAAGACACAAGGTGGGACAGGAAGAGAAAGGGCGGCTGAGGCCGCAACCTGGGGCGGTCAACAGCGGCTGCACAGGCACATGCACACTCCATCCCTTCCAAAATCTATCCACCCATGTTATCAGGAGAATCCAAGTTTAACAGTTCCTTCCCACTTCACTCAAGACAGCAGAAAGCCAGCACACCTACGCGCCTTCTGCACATTCCAAAGCCTAGCATGTGCTGTTCATACATTAGCTGCTCTAATTCCATGTTAAGGGAACCCTGCAAAGCAGGAAGCTTGTTCCCACTTTAGTGACGAGGAAAAGGCTGACAGTGGTGACGTCACCTGCCGCAGGTCCCACAGCTGACACGCGACAAGGCCAGACCCAAGTCCTGCGGTCTTCACACCCTAGTTTACAGCCAGGGATGGCAGTACTGGCAGAGACCCCAGAGCCTGAGGAGCTGAGGCTGAGGATGGAGCCAGCCTCGACCCCACACCTCCTCGTGTCTGGTCCTGTCCCTTCCAAGAAATCAGAGCCCCGAGCGACACCTGCGAAGGGGACAGGGCCGCAGAGGAAACTGGGAGTGAACCAGCCGGGGTTCTGGCCTCCTGTCAACCAGACGCCAGTCCCTTCAGCTCTGGCTCCTGGCTCCCATCCCATATGACTCACCCCTGGGAAAGTAAACACGCGTCTGTCACCCTGACAGCACAATAATGGGAGGAAACCGGGGCCTGAAGCAGGAGCACACAGGGCCCGGTGGCCCCCTCACAGCGGTCACTCCCACCCGTGCGCCTGCTCCCCCTGCCGCCCTGCAGAGGCAGGGGCCTCAGCGTCCAGGATGTCTTTCTATGGTCTCTCCAAATGTGACTCCCAGGTGCTGCCAACCAGTGACAACGGGACAAGTGCTCTTTAACCCCAACCGCCTCCCCTGTTCATCTGGACACAGCTCGGCTTGCACCCCTGGTGAAAAGACGCAGGGGCGCACCAGCTGGCAATTTCAACCTTGGCTCATCTCAACGCCAAGTACTTTGGTCAAGTAGTGGAGACAGGCCCGGGTGTGGATGGGCTCCTCCCCAGCAATGCTGGCATCTGCTCCCCTGGCCTCCCTCAGCCCCAGGCCAGAAAGGTCCAGGCACAGGGCCTGGCGATGAGCTACTGGCACAAGATGGCCAGGGAGAAAGTGTGTGATGTGGCTCTCTGTGCAGCCTCTCCTGGCATCTGGGAGATCACCCCGAGGCCATGGGAGGGAGCAGCCGACCGTCCCCTGGGCCTCCCACCCAGCCACATGGACAGTCACATCAGGCCAGCTGCGCTTCCTCCCCCGACCTGGAGGGCTACTGTGACCCCAAAGGCCAGAGCACCGCGCTTGCCCCCGGAGACCCCCATCCCACCAGAGCCCACGCAGCTGGAAGGTCACAGAAGCTGCACCACCCAGGAGGCAGGGCCACACGCACCTGTTAAAGAGGTTGTTGCGGCGAACCATCCGGAGAAAGCCAGTGGGGTCGGTGACCGAGTTGAGCCTGTTGTTCATCTCCTCGAACTGCTGGTCCATGATGTCTCCGGCTTCACTCTCGGTCTCGCTGCTAGCACAGGCCCTGCGGGGAAACAGCAGAGAAAGGTGCTGAGTGCTGCAGGCCTGCTCTGAGGCCCTGTCCGAGGCTCCAGCGTGGCCCGGCTCCTCCCGAATCCCCTCGTGCTCCCCTTGCCCCCCTTCTGCTCCCCACAGTCCTCCTGCTCATGTCCAGCACTGCCCCCGGCTGCAAACCCTCTTCAGGAAGGGGCTGCACTCTCTGCATCCAGCCTGTGCCCCACATGGACGGGGTGTGGAATCACCCCTTGCTGAATGAATGGCACCACTTGCTGTGTCCTGCTGGCCAGTGGGCACTCTGCCAGCACAGGGCTTGGGCGAGTGCGCGGTGTGGCAGGAGCTCTGGTCCACTCCAGCTCAGAACCAGTAACTAAGCACCTGCCTGTGCCAGGCGCCACACCCGGCAGGGGATGCGCAGCCCCTAAAGGCACTTTTCCCGACGAGGACACAGACATACCCAAGAGTGGTGGCAAGGCCAGGCAGAGGGGGACTGCTGAAATGAAGGCTTGAGAAACACGGCTGATTGAAGCCCATTCCAAGGTCAGCATGAAGATGTTATAAGTTTTGAATTACTAAATTTGTATTTCCCCTATGACAGACTGCGAAAGAGCATCTCACTATGGGTTTTAAATAAACAGAAGTACTCAGGACTTCCTTGATTCACCAGTCTGAGTAAAATAAGAGAGGGCATATTAAACGTAAAAGCCGTGCCCCGTGGCCCTGACAGACCAAGCACAAGCAGCTCGAGTGGTCGCAGACATGTCGAGGGAGTGCTGGCCATCCCCAGTCCCACCGCGACCCCGGCCACCGCACCTGGGGCTCAGCAAAGGCCGCTCCCTGTGTGGGGCCCCGCCTTCCTTCAGTGCCCGTTGCTTCCAGACTCTGGAAATGCAGTGACGTCTGCTCACAGGCGACTCTCAGCCCCCACGACAACTGTGTGTAAGGCTCCTGCTGCCTAAGGAGCAGGTGGAGGGTAGAGAGCACTGGAGGCACAGCCTTCAGCCAGGAGGACCAGCCAGGTAAGCTGCTCACGTGCAGGAGAAGTAGAACCTGGGAAGGGACAGACCCACTGCCAGAGAGAAGAGCTCGGCGCACTGAGACTCAGGCTGAGGGTGAGCACAGCCTGCCTCAAACAGCCAGGCCGGTGAGCCCCTGGCGTCTGGATCACGGGACAGAGAAGGGGAGGACTTCCCCCCGGGTCATCCTGGGGCCAACGAGATGCAGCGTGTGATGCCACTTAGTAAACCTGAAGGCTCTACCTGAGCGTCAGCCCAGATGAGAGGGTCCATTTTAGGTGTCAACTTGAGCAGGCCCCGGGGTGCCCGGCACAGCGTTCCTCTGGGTGTGCCTGTGAGGGCATTTCCGGGTGAGATTAACGTCGGAATCTAGACTGAGGAAAGCAAACTGCCCTCCCCGGCTCAGTGGGCCCCGTCCAACCAGCTGAGCATCTGAACCGGAGGAGAACAGGAGAGGGGCCTCCCCACCCGCCTCCCCGGAGCTGGGGTGGGGCGCTTCCCACCTCAGACGTGGACACCCCATAGCTTACACCACTGGCTCTCCATCTCTGGCTCACCAACAACAAACCTGGGGCGTCTCAGCCTTCACAACTGTGTGAGCCAGCTCCCCACAACAAAGCCCGTGTGCAAGTGTGCCTGTCGGTCCTGTCTCTCTGGAGAGCCTGGCGTGAGGCGCCGGAGCCCTACTCAGCCGTGCTCCTTGGAGAAGGTCACACCAACGCCCCACCACTGGGAGGGGGTCCCAGGAGCTGAGCCCCAGAGAAGTGCTGGGAGACGGACAGCTTTCAGAGATGGCAAAGAGGTGTGATCTCTGAGCCAGCTACCCTCCTTCATCCCAGAACCACACCAATGGCTGATCAAGGCATTACTAGCCCGACTTCCTCCCGGCCCCCACAACTAAACCCGGCCCTTCAAACCCAGCACACTGCCTGGCACACAGCAGGTGTACAAGAAAGAATGGCTCAACGATGCCAGCACCAGAGAGCATCTTACAACATGCAGGGTATTTCTGGCCAGATGTGATTTCATCTGTACAGGAAGCCTGTGAGGCAGCTCTCCTCATCTCCTCTAGGCCTGGAGAAGCTGAGGAGCTAGCCTAGGAGCACTCAGCGGTGGAGCCAGGCCTGACTCCCGTCCTTCCCCCTCTGAGGTTCCAAGCCTCTCGCACATTCCATCTCTCTCTGCTGGGCTTTGACAGGGGAGGGAGGGAATGAAGACAGGAAACAAGACGAACCAGGAAACTTCCGAGCACCTAAACAAATCACCCTGCCTCCACCCGGCTGGAGAGCAGGGAACGAAGCTTTATTCCTCCTGCCACCCCACGGGTGTCAGTCGACCAGGCCAGCAGCTGAAGGTTGAAAATGCTCCCTCGGGAGCTCAGGGCCCTTCATGGAGACCCTGGTAAATATCACTCAACAAGCTCTTCTGTCCAGGGACACATTTATCATCTGAACATGACAGCCTGCTCGGAGCTGAGAAATCTGCTTGTCACTCGGTGCTTTGCAAAGGGGAGAAGAATCGACTGCACTGGCATCAGCCTCCATTATCTTGCAGCTCTGCCCTCCCTGTCAGCTGCAGATGGAGCCCTCAGAATCTCATGCTTAATGCAGTTGTTTCCTATTTCCTGACCCTTCAGAGTATTAACACCAAAGGGGAAAACAAACAGGTGATGTCACAGATAAGGGAATCTCCCATTTACAAAGCGAGCCTCATCTGTACGGCAGGGAGTCCAAGTGCCTTGCCATCAGTGGTTGTCATATCACAATCACAGCCCTCTCATCTCTCTAAGAGACTTTCTAGAGATGGCACAGCAGCTGGTCTGGTTCCATTCACTTTGATCCAACAAGGATTACTATCTGAGATCTACATGCAAGAGCCACAGAGGCCAGACAGAAGATAGTAACATGCTTTCAAGGTATAATACATCCAGTATGACCAGTGACCACTGGCTAAGGTGGGTTAAGAAGGAGGCAGGAGGGTGTCAGCCTGGAGTCAAGGAAGGGAGGGTGCGAGAGCCCTCTGGAATCCCCGGAATCTGAGAGGCACTGGAAGGACAGCTTAGACAGGAAGGGACTGGGGTGGTGTGTGGGAATCGGGGGATGGAATGGTATGAGAAGGCATGGAAGTAAAAGAGTGGGGGGCTCTCTGGGGCCCAGGGACTAGCCCTGGTGAGCTGGAGGAGATGGTAAGAGTGGCGGAGAGAAAGGAGAGAGAGGGGGAGAGCCTTGAACCTGGAAGGCAGTGGAGAGCTGTCAGTCCAGGCTTCTGGTGGGCTCAGGGCGGTTGTCTGAGAGGCAGTCAACTGACCCAGAGTGGAGAACATGGACTACACGGGGCGGAGAGAGAAAATCAGGTGGCTTTCAGCAGCACTGCTCAGAAGCAGCCCTGAAGGCCCAGGGCCAAGCCCGAAGGAGACTGTTGTCCCCTCACACCTACTGGGAGCCCAATTCTCAGGAGTCACTGCTGTGTTAATACATCAATGTGCCTGGGTCTCAACACCCCCAGTGAGGCAAGCTTTCTCCAGCCCTCAGGCTTGGAGATCTGGGTAGCAGCTCCCTCCTCCCCCAAATCCCGTCTCCCTCCCTATAAATGGACATTCCCGGCCACGACCCCCGACCCCACGTTCCTGGTTCCTCCTCATTATGTGCTCTCTACTGTCACCAACAGGGGTTCTGCTTGTCCTGTGGTTGGGCCAGCTTAACTCATGAGTCTAGATGTGTAAACTAGGGTGGCAAGGTGGTGAATGAGAAAGTGAGAACTATCAGGAAAATACTACCAGACAGAGAACTTGTTTGCCTGAAACTCACTGAAGGAAAAGGATAAAAGACAACTAGCAGTTAATTTATAGCAGATGAGCCCGTGGTGGCAAACAAAGAAACTGAAAATAGGAGCTGGTCTTCAGTGGAAGAGGAATGGGTTTAGTTTGGACATGCTGAACATGCAGACAGGACTCTGTGTTGGTGATGTCAACTGTGCAGATACTGACTCTATTACTGAGATGGTCTTCATTCCAAAAGGGCTGGAGACTTAGAAATTCATGTCTGGTGCTAAAGACAGAGCTTGGGACCAATTGATTGATAGCTCATTCATTTATTTACCCAATAAATATTATTAAATATTTGTTATAAATATCCTGCTATGCCAGGTTCTAGTTCCAGGTAAAATGGAGTAAGCACATAGCACTCCATCTTTCTCAATGAATATAACTACACACTCTGTTGGACTGCATGGAATAGGATATCTGAGGAACATGAAGAGTTAATATCAGGCAAACGTGGGAAGAAGACCAGAATTCAAAATGGCACCAAATCACAACGGAACATCACACTCTTTGTCTCTGCAGAATCCATCAGACAACTCTCTGCAGCTCCCCCTTCTCTGTAGCCCCCCTTCTCTGCAGAAGTGGGCATCAGCATGAACAGAGACCTGCAGGAGAAACTGTCTATTTCCAGCTCAGAGAGAACAGAGAAAACCCCCCATTTCTCTTATTCTCTCATCTCTGTTCTCATGTTACAGGCCACAAACATTCCTATCAATTGACCTACTCTAAAATAATCGCTAATGGAAGAAGAAAAATGACATAAGAAAGCATCAGGAACATCAAGAAAGAAGGGAGAGTAATATAAATATCAAATGTCTGAGTAAATATAATAGACTATTCTTCTCCTCACACTGTCTCCTGGAGTTTTCACATAAGTAGATGTAGTATATAAGACAAGTGCAAGATGGGGGTGGGGGGGGGTGGGGGGTTGTGTGGTGGTAGAGGTTCCCATATGGTGATGAGACTTTTACATTTCATTCAAATTAATAAAGTATCAATAGCAAGTAAACTGCAAACTATAAAAAGTATATATGTATTATAATCTCTAGAATAATTATTTTAAAAGTTATAAAAGAGACAGTCAAAGAAATAAGAGATAAATTAAAATGAATTTTTAAAAAGTTCAAAACTCCAAAATAAGGCAGGAATAGGGAAATAAGAGGAATAAAA